TGCTGTTTTATTGAATTTTACAAGGAAGAAGAATCGGGCAAGTTACTTTCTCGATCAGAATTTTCAAAGCAAAGTAAGGGCATTAATAGTTTTGGCTTGAGGATTGAGTTTAATGAATTCAATAGCCATTACTCAATGTGGCTGCTATACATTAAACTGGAATTTTACTCCGTACGTTTACAATTTTGTAATGCTTATTGTCCTCTCACTTCTGGTTACCACATTAAAATGTTCTTTTTTCTCGTGCTCATTATGCTAATATATTTACTTAGAAACGGGAGCCCAACTCATTGTTTTCAGAGGAGGCCATTCTTGCAACATCACCAGCATATCTGTGCAGCCATTGCAGCCCGGTGGTCTTGTAGAGTCTGGGTCTTTGGGTGAAATTGAGACGAGCGGCGAAGTTGCAGAAAATTATTTTAAATCAGATGATTCACCTGCCCGTGATTTTATAGCCAGCAATGGAGCAGGTTCGAGACCTATTGTGCCTCCCGCTCTGGTTCTCACGACAGCTGCCGACGCTGCAGTCCTTTGGGATTTGTCCACAGGACAGCGCAAGCGCCGCTTGACGATAAATGCAAATGTAGACGTTATAGATGTGAGTTATAGGAAAATATAATGCCTGGTTTTTTCAACAGTGATATCATTTTAGCTCTACTAAACATATATGAGTTGTGCTCACCATATTTCGTTTAAAGTGATGAAGGACTGGTAGTCGAATTTTTCAGCAATGATATGAGTAGAGCTTACGTTTCCATTGAATTGCAAATATAGCCTTGCTCTCCCAAAAGGTGTTCTCATCCAGGGTGAAGTGTAGTTTAGACCTCGCCTAGATCTTATCAACACGTGTAATCTCGACACGTCAACCACTACTTCACATGGCCACGAGTGCCCTTGGGTCATAGGTCAGATGTGCATTTCAAGGAAGTTGAGACATTTTCCATATCACATTCTGTATTGGGATTGTAGATGAAGAAAACTTATATTTGCTATAGCTATCGATGACCTTGCTTTTTTCGTTATTGTGTAGGTTTTTGATACTACCAGTAAATCAGATATATGAGTTGTGTCCACTCAATTTCGTTTAAGATAATGAAATACTTGTATTTAAATTTTCCCACAATGATATGAATAGAACTGACGCTTCCATTGCATTTCATCGACAATTCCTTCACATAATGTGATATGGAAAGTGTCTGATCTTCCTTAAAATGCACACCTGCCATGTGGCCAAAGGGCACTTGTGGCAATGTGGCGTAGGGGTTAATGTGTCGAGCTTACACGCTGCATTGTCATGGTTCAATTCCTGCTGAGGGTGTTGATAGGATCTAGGTGAGGTCGAAACGGCAGTCAACCCTGGACGAGAACACCTTTTGGGAAAGCACGGCTATATTTGCAATTCAATGGAGACGTCAGCTCTATTCATATTATTGTGGAAAATTAAACTACTAGTCCTTTATCACCTTAAGCAAAAAAGGGTGAACACAACTCATATATCTGATTTACTGGCAGTCTCGAAAACCTAGTTAATAACTACTAAACATATTTTTATGTAGGTATGATCCGAGATTCTCAATTGTTATTGAGTAAGAACTTGGCCATCCTAGGTCTTTTGAGGTGATTTAGGAGCAAATAGTTGAACTTTTTTCTCAATGAGCCCTCACGGTACCATTGAATTTCATTTAGCCTTGCCTCCTAAAAGCTTGTGTCATCCAGGGTACCCTACAGTTTGTTCTCGCCTAGGTCTTATCACTATCTTTCCTCAAAGGGATTTGATACCAGGTCATGAGTATCGTAGTGACATTTGCCACTCCACTCCACTGCCACGGATACGAGTGGGTTACAGGGCAGATGCGACACTCAAGACAAGCCAGGCCTCTTTAATTCACATTTTCTAATGGGAGTGCAGACTAGGAAAATATATGTTTGCCATAGCATTCGATAGCATTACTTATTTTTTATGTGAGTAGGTTTCAAGGTTGAATACTTTATGTCTAATTTTATACTAGACATAGCTCCAACTTCTTTATTATTATTAGTCTACATTCACACTTTTTCTCGAGAAATAATGGCAAAATACTTCAGAAGCTTCTTTGGTCTGTCTTTAAATGATAATCATGTTCATGAATCCTTTTGCAAATCTTGGAGTTTATTGTTTCCTCATCGGGACTAATATTTTAGTTGAAGCTGAATTGCCTTTTATTTAGTTCGATTGATGGTTGGAAAGGATACATATTTTCTTTACTGGAAACCTGAGGAGGATTGTTTTGGGGTTCTAACAGCTGGATTATGCGAAGAAGACTCTGGTTCAACGTCCTGCACTAGGCACTCACTATGGGTGCTGATTAGATTCAATTGAGATTGAAACTCCTGTTACATGTGAGAAATATACAACTCTAGACAACCTTATTTTTTGTTGAATCTTATGTTATTATAGGCATATTTGCTTTATTTTACTCATGCTTTATCTATAAATAAGGCTTATGATGGATTAAAAGCTCTTATAGCAAGATCCATTCATTTATTTATTCGCCTTTTGTTCATAGATGGCTTTGATGTGTCTTGTTCTAGCCAGAATTAAGAATAAAATACTTCGATGAGTCTACTTGGGTATCAGTTGAGACATTGTGAACTTTGTTTATTTGAAAACTATGTAAAGACACTCTTAAATCTGTCAGGATAGCAGGAAGATTCTGATGTCATTAGATCTTTCATTTCTTATAGAAAGTTTTATGGAAGGTATCAGCTGTCTGCCTCCACACAAAAACGAAGTAGGATTGTTCTGGAAATGTGGCTGTTGATTTTAGCAAAGACTTTTATGCGGCCCCGATGAAACCGTGGTGAGATTCTGTCTGCCATGGGATAGGCATCATCAGAATATGAAAACATTCTTTAACAAAATTTACCAGAGACCCACTTCTT